AGGACTGACCATCTTTGGAGAGGTGGCTTCATCGTCAACAACCTTTCCAGGGGCTGTTTCACTAACTGCAGCCAAGTCAGGGTCATCTTTATTCTGGTTGAAGAAACGCTTTGCACCACTCAGCACATTCTGGAACGCGTCACCCCGGCCATCGTTCTCTCCGGGCTGTACCTTGGAACCTGCAAAAGCATCTCTCTGCACAGTGAACCAATCCTCGTGGTTCAAGTGACCCGATCGAAGCCTGAACATGTGACCAAAAGACAACCAATCTTTTTCCACAAGAACAATGAAACCCTCAATTGTGCGGTAGTATGGGTCTAGCATGATTTGAGCCAAGGCACTGAGCTGGCTCGTACGGTCCCAGCCGTCGGAGCAGTGGATGAGAACATGTGAATGGTTGATTCCGATCTGTCTTGCAATTATCGCTGAGCCATCAAGAACATCATGAATGTGCCGTAACCAGCCACTCTGATGGAGCAGCTCTCTGTTTGGTGGCAAAGGTGAAATGTCGGCGTCTTTGAGTGCGTCAATGACCTTGTTGAGGGAGCTTCGCATGACGTGAATATTCTCAATACTAAGGAATATCTTGCGTGCAAACTTGTACTTGTCCATATTTTCCGAGCCCATTCCTTGTACCTGATTCACCATTGCATTGATAGTAGGACGAGCATCCACAATCAAGTTGCTCTGCTGTGCTCCATATACTTGACGCTTCCCGGAAGAATCGTAAACGGCAACGGATCTCGAAATGAGTTCATCTTCATATCGTTCAGTCTCCGAAAGCTCCGGCTCCAGTGATGAGTTTCCAAGGGAGACATCGGGCTGGCTCGATAGAGGCGTGCTTTCCTCAGAACCTGGCGGCAAAAGGGCGTTGAACGATGCCGCTACTAATTTCTCATCTTGCACGTTTGTCTTCCTTGTGATGCCGGAGAGGGGCTGAGAGCTTCGAGTGATGGTACAGTTGTTTACTGGATGGATGTACGACAGAGCCGGCACACGGTTTCTCGAGCGGAACTCCTTCGCATATTTAAGGACATTGTCCGATATTTTGGAAGGAACAACCAGAAAAGCAGGATACGTATCGCAAAAGGTATAGTCCTTATTGATATGCGTGATCCTCCAACCTTTGTCAGGCAATTTCTCGCTGATGCCCTGGCGTCTGAACTCTGCTTTTGGATCATAGACCGACCAACCGTCAACCTCTCGCTCATGCTTTAGAGGCTTGTGGGAGAAAGCATAGAGCTTCTCTACTGTCCCTAGTTTGCAAGTTCGAGACTTGATGAAATCGAAAGCTTCTCGGGCAATCTCGCTGTCGGTGAAGTTGAATGTCACAAAGGTGAAGTCACGACATCGCAAACGGATCGATGGAGCCTGGCGAGATCCAGGTGGTACTGGCCGAAGTGCGCAATAGCACAGCATGGGATATGGAATCCATCTCTCGCGAACTTTGGGTTTGTGAGACGAACTTTCTGAGGGCTTGGCGGATTGATCGATGGGTGCGCAGAATACCAGGTGGAAATCCGTCAGTCGCAAAGTGCCATGAGTTGTTTGGCCGCCATAGATACCCTGGACGCTCTCGATGATCTACATGACGTTAGGAGCCGAAACGCAGCGCAAAGCCGTGCATGAACAGGCGGGATGCTCTGAATGGCGACTAGAACCAGGCGATCACGCGTACCTTTCGGGCTTCCATTTTGGCAAACCCTGGCCTTATCGCCTTTTATTCGCTAAAGGGCGAGAGATACCTCTTCGTCAAGTGTATGTTGTATCAATGATCTCTTTGTATGTCGGTGTGGGGGACTACTCGGAAGCTCTGGTGATGTAGTAGAGGTAGCTCAATATCGCGGGGCCGCCGGAAGATGAAGAAGTAGCTGTTGTAAGGCGACCTTAGAGGAGAGGTTATGAGACGGACTCTGACATATTTGTCACTTCCAAAGTAAGAAAAATTAGAAGCGCATTGGGGGAAAACCTTGACCTCGACTTTGAGTATTAATGGATGGAGTTTCTTTTAGAGCCAGAGACAGCTCACACTCATCATCACGAGCCACAGGCGCCCACTTAGCATCAGGTAAGGTATATGGCAGGAGGGGCTCAGCGCTGTCAGTACCAAAAGAAACCGCGACGTCACCCTAGAGGTCAGAGCCACCTAGGCATGGTCCAAGCACTTTCCCCATTTTGGGCTACATGGTTCATCTCGTTAATTTTGTTTCTCCGTTCTCCGGCTGAGAGAATGTACGTACCTACCTAGGTAGGTAGGTACTACCTTAAGGTACTAGTACACATCTCCTCCCATTCGAGACCCACTTCTCCAAACGGAATGTGCGACCTGGGACCCGCCTGCCGAATTAGGGCTCAACCACACACCAAAAAATATTGAGCGAGTAAGCCAACATTTGTGAGTGCAGTGAAGCCGAAATCCACCCAGAATCGCGAATCTTTCTCTTCAGCCCGCCAACCCTCAGCTCGCCAACAGACTCAAGACAAGACACCAAGTCAAGTCCAGTCCCGACAACACAAGTCCTATTTTCAAGATGGCTCACCCCGGATCTCAGATGTGAGTTGTTGACATTGCAATTCCGAGCCACTTCTTCATCAAATCGAAACATCGCCATCGTCACCCCGCCAAATACCATCCTTTTGTTAGAAAAGTCGAGTCAAAAGTCCAAGTTTCACTAACAATCTTTTGCGCAGCTCCAAGCGGAGAAAGTTCGTCGCCGACGGTGTCTTCTACGCCGAGCTCAACGAGTTCTTCCAGCGTGAGCTCGCTGAGGAGGGCTACTCCGGCGTCGAGGTCCGCGTTACCCCCACCGTCACCGATATCATCATCCGAGCCACCCACACCCAGGAGGTTCTCGGCGAGCAGGGCCGCCGCATTCGCGAGCTCACCTCGCTCATTCAGAAGCGATTCAAGTTCCCCGAGAACTCCGTCTCCCTCTACGCCGCCAAGGTCCAGAACCGTGGTCTCTCCGCCGTCGCTCAGTGCGAGTCCCTCCGATACAAGCTTCTTAACGGTCTCGCCGTCCGACGTGCTTGCTATGGTGTCCTCCGCTTCATCATGGAGTCCGGTGCCAAGGGTTGCGAGGTTGTTGTCTCCGGTAAGCTCCGTGCTGCCCGTGCCAAGTCCATGAAGTTCACCGACGGCTTCATGATTCACTCTGGTCAGCCCGCCAAGGACTTCATCGATCACGCTACCCGCCACGTTCTCCTCCGACAGGGTGTCCTGGGTATCAAGGTTAAGATCATGCGCGGCTCTGACCCTGAGGGCAAGGCCGGTCCCCAAAAGACTCTCCCTGACGCCGTTACCATTATCGAGCCTAAGGAGGAGCAGGCTGTCCTCCAGCCTGTCAGCCAGGACTACGGCGCTAAGGCCGCCCAAGCCGCTCAGGCTGCTCAGGATGCTCGTGTTGCTGAGGAGGAGGGTGGTGATGAGGTCCAGGCTGTTGAGCAATAGGATGCTTAAATCACCAGGCTGGGAATAGCCGCCAAAACCTGATGAAGGAAAGATGGAGATCCGTGGGATGAGAGACGGAGGTCTACTCAGGCGTCAATTGATCATTTGCATCTGCTAAGGGCACGGACGGTTTCATTCTTGCTTGTAATGGTAGGCAAAGCATAAAAGAGAAAAAATGAGACCCCATGATTACGACGACACGTCTTGTGACTGTGTCTTCTGTCTACCAACACCTTGAGTGCCTCTGAACGACTCTGAAGTCTTGTTTGAACTGAGTATGTGAATGTTTCGTAGACAGTGGAGACTAGCTTGCCTACCTACATAATGTCGAGCTGGCAACACTCAAGCCTTACTTATCACGCTTGCTTGTCTCACGCTAACAATCCACACCACGGCTCAGGGGGGTCGTAACCACGATAACGATAAGGCAATCAATCATCATTTACGGTCATCTGTGTCCTACAAAGAATCTCAGATACTGTGTTTGGGTTTGGGTATTTGTCGATATCTAATCATATAGCTGTTTGAAACGAACAGCCATGTTCGGAGATGCTGTCAATAATATCTAACTTCCTTATAGAGCATCTCAATTGACTTACAGAACTGGCCAATGAACGGTTAGTTCTGGCCACCAATCATTATCATTCACAATTAAGTAGACAACCAAATCGTGAACGTTAGTAGTTGGGGGAAATAGCTTATGTGTACATATGAAGTAAAAGTAGGCATCCAAAGCAGATCTTCACCAGGCTGGTGAGATATAGTGAAGACGAAAAGGCACATCGCAGACAGCACAATAGAGAACCAAATATAATGAGGACTTGACATCTATAAGCTCAAATCTCATTTGTGTGATACATTTCCACCTGCAATTTCATTGTACTGAACGTCGTAATAATTCTTGTCTATAGTAGGTAGCCTCTGGCTTTCCCTATTTTCTTGTTAAAATTCCAACTTAGCTTCCTCGAACCGAGAAAAAGCCCTGCGACTTGGATAACAGATCTACCATACCCGAAACGTTCGTTCATGCCCTGGAGAATTGAGGCAGTGATGTACGCCCCAAATCGCCTTTTCATTGCCCGATAGACGTAGACAATGACGCCTCCTTTGATCCGAAACCATCCCTGTATAAACGGCCCTGATATGGAAGTTCGCCGTCCAGTCCCATCCTATCGCTCATGCTCTGTAGTTATCGTACAACGAGGATTCGCCTGTCGCCCCAATACAAAATCCGCCAACGCCGCCCAAGACCATGTGCCCATAGTACTCCAGTAATAGCAAACAATACATGTCGTTGATTTCGAGTCCGAATCCCGTTTGGAATGGGTAAAACACAGTTGGCACCAGCATTAAAGTATGTCGTTGCGTAATGTACCATCCGCGAATGCAGCCCATACTCCGAGAGAAATGCCCGGTTAAATGGTTTGAAAATGTACAATGCCTGTTTGAGATAATGAAACATGCAAGATATCGTTTGCGGAGCTGGTGACCGGTGGTTAACCGATATTCTGTTGCTCCGCCGTTACGTTGCTGGGAACGTCACAGGCCATCACCGATCGCCTGACTTGTGGCGATTATCGAGCTCGATATTTTCGTCATAGCTCGCTTTTCCATTGCCGTTGGCATGCCGAACATCTTCGTCACTATCCGAGGCGAGGTCGGTCAGAGCGAAACCAGCAGCTTCTTCCTCGTCGTATGCGCGAATGAGACCCTCGCGATCACCGCGTTGGCTGCTCATGCTGTGTCGTGAGGGATCGCCGCTCCTCCTTGCCTGCATGCTCAGACGAGTTTGTAAACCAGAGACCATGTCGGTACCGGTGGCGTCGCTTCCTCCTCGTCCGGCGGTCAACCTTTGACCATGGGGGTCACCTCTAGAAAGGTTCAGAAGATAGACGCCCGTAAAGGTGACCAAGAATCCGCAAAGCAGCGAGAGGGTGTTGACTGGGTCATTCGTGTTGAATCCGCTGAAGAGGATAAAGGAGGCACATAGGGTGGCGGTGGTGAACGTTACGTAGTAGAGAGGGTTGACGCTGGCACTACTGTTAGCAAAGGCCAACTGTCAGAACTCCGTAAGCCACTTACATGTTAGTGGGAAAGCTGGCAAGAGCTTTGTTGAAGTAATTCATCTGAGTCACAATGCATACGGCCGTTAAAATCATGAAAACGTATGTCGAAGGGTGGCTGAACTGGTTGTGGCCAGCAAAAGTAAGCTTAAGCGCAATGCCAAAAGCCTTGACAGACATGACTGAGATGGATCCGACGGTGGAGCAGATGGAAAGATAAATGAGGGCGTTTCTCCTGCCATAGACAGGGGCGATCTTGTAAATCATGAAGACGGCGAAAGCGACAACGGCGAAGGCGTAGAGAAGAAAACCTTGTATCAGTTTTAGAAAATGCCATCCTCGTAAGTATGCTTCTTGTGTGTACGAACCTGGCTGAATTGCGTAGTGCAAGATCTCGTCGACGGTCTCGATCTCCTCATCGGGAGGCGCATGAAGAACAATAATGACAGCGCCGATCAGGCATATAGCACTGCCGAGCTTGCCCAGCGTACCAAGCTCTTCGTTGAGGAAGTACGAGCCAAGAACAGCGCCAATGAGCACACTGAGAGCTCCAAGAGGTGTGACGAGGATAGCAGGGGCAAAAGCGTATGCGGCAAAGTTGCAGACTTCTCCTAGACCAACTAATTTGATTTTAGTTAACATGTCAATAGGGATCATGTCTGAGAGAGCACTTACGAGTCGCAATACCGGCCCACCACAGGGGATTTCGAAGGTAGACAAAGCCGTCGCCTTCAAAGCCATGTCGCTCTTCTGCTTGAATCAATCCCTAAGAAGTGGATTAGTTTATGCTCAAGGCGAGACGCAGAACATAGCGCCAGCCGCTCGCCCACAGGCAGATAGTAGCTATATTGGACGAACCTTTTTTGTAATAACGAAGCTTGTTCCTGAAATATGGTTAACCTTGTGACGCCCCCAATGTATTCAAACATGACTTACCAATCGCCAAGGCCGATGTCATGGCAAGAGCCAGACCGATATATCTTGAGGCAATATTAGCACTTGTAGTGAGAAAAGTGTGGTCGGAAACAGTGTGGTCGGAAACAGTGTGGTCGGAAACAGTGTGGTCGAGATACAAGAAGGACCCGATCGAGGTGGCTTCTCAGGAGAAGGCCAACAGGAGTGGAACGCGACATACTTGTCTTCAATCATGATGTTTTTAAGAGCGCACGACAGCGACGAAGCGCGCAAAGTCGACTTTCTATATATGTACCCAATGCGCTGAAAGCGGTGATCCGAATCGAATAGCGGGTTTGGCAGAATGCGCCGCTGAGAGTCGGGTTGAACTGAAAGGATCGTTCACTACTGGCGTGGGCTCGCACCAGGCGAGAGAAGCCGTATAGCAATAATGAGAGTTGAAACGAGTGAGTTGTTGATGAATCGGGCTCGACTTTATTGCAGACACATCAAAGTATCGCTATAGACTCTTCGCTGGGAAAGTTAAATCGAGATTGGAGTTCTGGCCGCGTGGACGACTGCTGAGTCTTGGTGTTGGATGCAGATGGAGGGGGGCCAGGCGTGCTGCTGCTGTTGTTGTAAGGAAGCGATTTGCGACGGAGCAAGATCGGGTTTGGGGTATCGTATGGTCCAATTATTGTCGAATCCGTTATTGCCTTCGTATCTTGACAAGCTTGAGACTCGTGATGCGCAACGACGGTATTCGCAAAAGGCAGGGGGGGTTGGATGATAGGGAGAAGGGACAGCTTGGCTGGATTGTAAGTAAAAATGGAGAGGCTGCAGCAGCAGTGCGGATGGGATGAGATACAGTACGTATGTGCTGTGCTGTAGTAGGAGGTAAGTGGTTGACGGTATGGGTCAAATCCAGTTTGTGTGGGAGAGACAGAGACAAAGTTTGGGAGGCCAGATCAGACCCGACGAGACCAGACAGGGGCCTGCTAGCTAGTATGTACCTCCAGGCTACGGGAGGCTTGGACAAAACCAGCAGTGGAGAAGCAGAAAAGGCTGAGGTACCTGGGCAGAGGTCAGATTATAGTGCGCTGACAAGTACCGCCACCAGTATCAGGCACAGCAAAGTTCAAGAGGTTTCAAGAGAGGGCGCCAACAAAGGACAATGGATCCATCCACTACCCCCTGGCGTCAGGCCCATGACCCTGGCCGCCTGGCGTTACAACTTACCTACACTCACTACATACTCCGTAACACTTCAGGGCCCTCAGGACTCAAAAAGAGGTGAGGTGGGGATCCTGTCCGAGGTCAAGTGCCTGAATGCCTGCACCTTTTCTTTTCTTTCTTGCATCTGACGACACTTCATTCCACGATCCAGTTATTTCTCTAAGAGTCCCCGAGAAACTAGTGACTAGCAGCCCGTAAAGATAAAACAAACCACTGAAATACGGCAACTTAAGGGAAACTCGGCACAGACCCGAGCGTCGAAACGCAGCAATTGCATTAGGTTGCCTAATAACTTCCGCTGACTTTAAAGTACTACATACATACATATGTACAGCTAATTATTGTACAATAGTCCTCAGATGCTAAAGCCGAGGCTTAGACGGCACGATACGACACAACCACAGCACAACACGATACGATCGGTGGGTGCGAGTGGTTCTCACCCCTGAACTAAAGGGATGTTGACACGCACGTAAGTATGTACGTTGAACATGCAGTTGTCCCTATATCACAGTCACTTCAAATACACAGACTAGGTACCTTATTTATGTCAGTAGGATTGCCGTATTGATTACGGAGTACTTCCCCAGAATATCGTAGCTCTCAACAATCACTTTAGAAAGGACTTCCACATTTCTTGTACGTAGTTTCTAATATATATATTAAAAAAAAAAAAATAGAAAAAAAATTAGTAACAGATACACGACTCTGGTGATGCTCGCAGACTTTTACTCCCCGCCCCTGTAGACTCAATTCACGTCCATAACTAGCGCTTCCGACTGCTTGATTCAAGGGGGACAGACGATAAGCCCCTTGCTTCTCACCATCTGCTTTTACTCGCCGTCTTTCGGCTTTAACCCCTGGACTCGTCTCCATTTCCAGCCCATCAAGTTCGTCTGTCCCGCAACCTGTCCTCGTGTCCACGTCAGCAGCCCGCATCTCAAGCTCGAAACAGTCCTTGATTTTTTAGGGGAGGGTTTTTTCTTTTTTTTTTTATAACATCCGCAGTGCGGCAGTGCCTCGCTCACTCCGCTGTAACGAAGATCGAGAACTTCTCAACAGCGCCTCCCGTGCGCCACATCTAATAGTTTTAGGTGTCTGAGCCACGTTCCATAAGTTATCCTCACTCAAGCCGTTGCGAGAAACTGCAACAAATTTACTGTCTTGGCGGATAGAGTCTCGCAGTAATTGAATGAATGGATGAATCCAATACCAAAATGCAACTTGGTCTGATATTGTGGGCTATTATTATATTATAACACACCAACCCTACTCTTCATCTTGTTCCTGATCGACACTCTTAGCGCTCAACTTAATCAACCCCTAACATAGCCGACACTTTCCAACAGGGATCCATGACGCCCTTTAATACTACGGGTGGTTCGGCGCTGGAAACAAGTTAGTCTAAGGGATCGATGCTCATCACTAAAGTGTTTCAACCTTTTGTTTCTGTTTGGTGATAACTACCTGGCCAAACCCCTTCGCCATGATTATCATGATAATCCAGATCACGTTATTTATAGAATCTTAGCGACCAGATCTCAGGATAGTGTTCTTTTCAAGCGAATCAGCTAAAGACTGCCCAGGACCCTACACCAAACGTCTTCAATGGCCACCTAACAAGGCTCATATTGTTTGCTATCAGTAACCCCGACTAAAGCGTAGGTAGAGTATAGATCCACATCAGAAATGCTGTCCGTCTCAACTATCTCCCACGCTTCGCTATAACTTCAACTCCAGGCACCGCTCGCAGCTTTGAGTTTTCCCTCCGGTTCAGCCGACAACGCCTCATTCCATCCGACGAACCATATCATACAGAACTAGAGCTAATCCATCTGTTCTCTTACCAACCAGGATCGTGCATTTTGTTCTTATATTAATATTTTGAAAGGGGAAAGGGTATCGACACTTGCGTCATCAACAATCGGGTATAAAACAAAACAAAACAAACAACCATTTTGCCGATGGCCAGAATCAAGCTTGACCTCATAAAATGCAGAAATGCATAAGATCTTTCTTTGCCCTATAGAATTAGTAAATGGATTCATTTCTTACCTACCCGGAATCCGCTGTTATGGGTCTGTGATCCATATTGTGTGGTTCAGAACATGTTGCATTCTTACCACCAGGAAAACTTCTGCGACAATAGCGTTGAGAACAATGACAAAGGTCGAGGACCCGACTGTCGAGTTCAGATAGCCACTGGGCATCATGTTACCAGCAGCTGTTGAATTTTAGTTATTGAAGAGGGGGTTGTTTGTCGATATCGGAGAATGTTGCGGTTAGTTTGGAGGCGAAATCATTCAGGGACAACGGCGCTTGGCATCTGCATCACGTTAGTCAACATTGCAACTTAGCTGAGGATCTTGCTCAACGCACCTTGCTCATCCTCTGCATTTACATCATCGTCATCACCGCGGGCTCGTTTACCAGCAGCCGAAGGAGTGTTTGGTGCTTGGTCTTCTGGTTCATGTTCATCTCTCCAGTCGATTTCGTCCAGGTCGTCATCGTCGGTTTTCCTTTTCTCAACTATCTCTACTATTGCAGATTCCACTCCGAGGTCAACGTTGAAAGTGGACGCTTCCTCCTCCTCTTGAAGAGTGGTTGTAGTGCTCGTGTCATTAGTTTGTGCGTGGAGTGGTTCTGGCTCGGCATCAGCATTGACCTCATCTTGGGTCTCTGTATTCTCTTCAAGAGCAACATCTCCATTGAACTCGGCTTCCTCGGCTTCTTCGTCTAACTCGAAATTGGCAAATGGGTCAATCTCGCTGTCAGCTCGTGCTGGAGTAAATTCGTCAGTATTATTGAAAGAATACGTTGTGCTGAAGTCAGACAGAGAGCGGTGATGTTTGGATTGACGGGAACAGAGATATTGTACTTTGGGTGAAAGAATTTGCATGGTTCCGTAATTGCGCTTGACAGTTTTCCGGAATTCTGCTTCATCTTTGTTGTGATTCTCAACATACTCCGCCACACAGGGGGCACAGAGGCAGAATTCGGGGTAATAGCAACAAAGGAAAGTGGAAGAGAATGAGGTCGCTTTACCATTTTGCTCAAGGCTATCTTCATCGGCAGCCGTGGGGCTGTCAACGGCGGCCTTCGGGTCCTCCAGATCAACGGCAGAAGCATTGACTGATATCTCGGTTTGAGTTTCGGTTATGACGTTAATATTGTCTCGATCATCATCATGGCCATCCTTATTACTGGCTTGCTGGCCATTGACTTCCTGGTCTTTAAACTCTTGGTCCTCAGAACCAATGACAGTGGGGTTCGCATGTTCGTCTTCCAGATATTCATCCTCATTTTCTGCTTCATCTATGTCGCTGTGATGTTCATCATCAATTGGGCTGTCAAATTCGTCCAGTTCCTCATGAACGCCATCGATAGTGGCAGCTGTCTCCAGCATGCTAGTTCCAGCAGTCATGGGAGTCTCGAAGAGATGGATAACTTCATCAAGTCCCTTCCCTGCCGTGGCACTCTCGACAAGATACTCGAAGCGCTTTTCTGCGTTGGGTTTGGTAAAAAGATAGGCATACAGCGGGCGCGAGCCATCTGGGTCCTGGTTCTTGACAAGAAGGTCGAATATTTCAAGAATTTGACGGAGTGTAACGTTCGACATGGTCTCGCCTTGGGTTGCCTGTTTCAAAATGTTAGCCCATTCTGGATATAAGTCAGAGCCTTTTCTCACCTCAACAAGTTCGAGGCCAAGCTCATCGACCTGGAGTACCAAGTCATCATCCTCGGCAATCTCATTTTCAAGCTCACTCCGAAGACCAGCAATCAACTTCTCAAGTGGTTCATCAAGAACCGAAGTATCGGCAAAGAAGCCATGGGTGGTAGTGGAGAACATAGGAAATTCGTCTCCTTTATACTGTACCGTTATAGCAGGAAAGCCCTCATCTGTCTTCCCATTCGAATCTTCTCCAGTAGCTGAGTGATCCGCATGATCCGCATCAGTGGTTGCGTGTTCGTCATATGCATCTGCGACATGTTCACCCACGTCATAATCGTGATCTTCGGCTTCCTTGACAGCTTCGGTTGTTTCATCATTTTGCCCTGATGCCAAGGTAGTGGTTTCTTCATGACTATTCGCATCTTCTCCATCGTGTATTTCGTCGTTGCCACCTGATGCGTGGATATTCTCAACACTATACTCATCTGCCTTCGCACCCTCGGCTTCAGCTTCACCAGTCGCAACCTCATAATCGGGCTCTGTTTCTTCTTCTTCCTTTGGATCGCGAGGTTCATTTTGATCATTATGGCTTGGCATGTTATTCTCGTCTCCCGCGTGATCGGATAACTCTTGTCCGGTTGCGGTAGCGTCATTATCAGGTCCGTTGTCATCTTGCTCTTCAATAGCACCGGTTGCTCCATTTAGATCAGAGCTTGTCACACGGCTTGCGGCAGCTATTTTCTCATCTTGATGCGAGCCCTCTGCTTCCGAATTATCCTCAAATTCATAATCAATCTCGTGCGCAGATGCATGGTCGTCAGACACGGCATCGCCACGAACGATTATTTCATCCAAAATTTCCACATTCTCTTCGCTTTCTGGCACGTCTTCGTCGGGTGGCTGAGTTGATTGTATCGATCCCTGAGTCCCAAGCTCAGGAGCCTCGGTCACTCCATAATCCACATGTTCGGGACTGTTTGCTGTATCCTCGACATCATGTAGGTCGAAGTCCACATCCTCGCCCGTGAGACTGTTCGTCTCGTAGGCTTCATGATTCACAGCGCCCTCATCTTCTTGCATTTCTCTTTCCATGCTTTCCAAGTTGTCATCGTTCTTTTGCAGGTCATGACTGGAATCAACCATGTCGGTATCGAAGTCGATAAGATCGTCCTCAATTTTACCGTCCAAGATTGGTTTGGCAATATCAATGTCCATTTCGATCTCCGTCATGTCTTGGAATCTTGTTTGGGTTCTTCAGAGCTGGTCCTTCGGATCGATTTGAGTGGAAGAGAGTTGCTGTGTGGAGGAATCGAGTGCTGAACGCGTTGAAAGCGATGGAATCAAGGTATCGGGAGAATGTACGTGCCCAAGAGCGGCAGTTTGCGCGCGTCGGGATGAAATCGTACACGCGGTGGTTTGAATCAAACAGACAAAGACCAAGCTTGGCTAGAAATGTAATTTAGGCTGGTATGCGACATTTGATCCAGGTTGGTGAGATTGTGTTTGCTAAAAACGAAGGACGCCCACGCGCGCCGTTCTTGTAGTGCTGGGGTCTTTACTTTGGCTTGTTCGTGAAAGAAAAACGTAAAATAGGGGGCCCTTGTTCAGGTTGAAGGTTGAAGTTGAGGAGAATATATGGACTACCTAGTAAGTAGGCAGGCAAGCTCTCTAAGAATGAACTTCGTTGGTGATTAAGCAGCGAGACCCAGAAAGGCTGAGATCAGGGAGGTAAGAGGCTGACGCTTACCTAAAAAGAGCTAGCGTGGGGTAGCTGGCTGCTGGGCCGTGCTGTTCTTTCCCTCCCACTTCATAGCAGCAGCTCCTGGGCTCCTAAGGTGCCCGGCTTCCAGGTGGCCGTAAGAGGGGTACGTACCTCTTCAGGCTCCTGCACCTCCCACCGACTTGAATATTGGCCCGCTCTATCTAACATCCAGGGGACGAGCATTCAACATCTTGCAACTCTCATCGCAATCAACAAAAATCTGCTCGAACTAGTCCGCCAAGATGGTGCGCAACATCTACCACTATCACCCCTGCTTACATCATGTACTCATGCTCCTTAGGTTGTCCTTGCGGCTTCGATTTGCACCCGTGGAGGGAAAGCTGTCCTCTCGAGACAGTTCCGAGAGATGCCACGATCGCGCATAGAAGCCCTCCTCGCCTCGTTTCCCAAACTTGCCGATAGTGGTACACAGCACACGACCGTCGAGCAAGATAACGTCCGATTCGTTTACCAGCCCCTCGACGAACTCTACATGGTTCTCATCACCAATCGACAGTCCAACATTCTCCAGGACATCGACTCCCTGCACCTGTTTGCCCAGGTAGTTACCAGCACATGCAAGAGCCTCGACGAGCGCGAAATCCTCAAGAATGCCTACGAATTGCTCAGTGCTTTTGACGAGCTTGTCACCCTCGGCTACCGTGAGAACTTGACCATTAGCCAAATAAAGACCTTCCTTGACATGGAGAGTCATGAGGAGCGCATCCAAGAGATTATCGCAAGGGTAAGAAGTTCCATTGGGATCTCCTTCACAGACATATACTCATACCCGCATAGAACAAAGAGTTGGAGGCCACCGAGGAGCGAAAACGAAAGGCGAAACAGCTCGAGATGCAGCGCAAGGATGCTGCTCGCAGTGGTCGTGGAGCTATGGGTGGCATGGGCGGAATGGGTAGCAGCGGTGGTATGCCCAGAAGTCCTTCCTATCCCTCATACAACCCCCCTTCGCAATCCAATACCAGCACCTACGACTCATACGAGGCAGAGAAGAACAAGTCCTTCAGCAAGTAAGTGGCACTTACAGCGTTCTAGAATACAATTGGCTAACACCTTCGAGACCGTTGGCTCCTAAGGCCAAGGGTATGCAACTGGGTAAGAAGTCCAAGACAACTGATATGTTCGAGCGAGTACGAGGTGACATGGGAGGCGAAATCGACGATTCACCTCTTGTTGCCCCCGCACCCGTCCAGCATGCTGAAGCCGCCGAACCTCGCGTCTCGTCAACTCTTGATCGCGATGCTATCCACGTCACTATTTCAGAGACTATCTCGGCCAAGCTGTCTCGCGAGGGCGCTGTCAACTCTCTAGCTATCAGTGGTGATCTTGTTCTCCGCATCTCAGACCCTAGCCTGACAAAGATCAAGCTCGGCCTCCAGGCTGAGGCGTCGCATGGCGTACAGTTTCGTACACACCCCAACGTTGACCGAAATCTGTTCAACGGTTCCAAGATTATCCAGATGAGCAACACTGCACGTGGCTTCCCGGTCAACAACGCTGTTGGTGTGCTGCGATGGAGGGCTTCTCCCAAGGTTGATGACGCCAGCACATGCCCAATTACATTTACTGTCTGGATCAACAAGGAGGGGGCCAAGTACAACATAACGGTGGAGTATGAATTGACTGGCAGCGATGCCCTGAACGATGTTAGCGTCGTTATTCCCTATGCAGGTAGCGAGCCTGTTGTTTCAAGCTTCGATGCTACCTATGATGTTTCTGGCGACGCTCTCGAATGGACAATTGGCAACGTGGATGAGGAGAACCCCAATGGCTCATTCGAGTTCGAGGCCGAGTCCGGAGATGAGAATGATTTCTTCCCTATGACGATTCGCTTCAACAAGAGCACACCATACATTGACGTTGACGTAAGTCTCTATCCCAACCTGTAGACCTAAGTATTATGTTAACCATTTCACAGGTTCTTTCCGCGTCTCTTTTGGAAGAAGAAGAGGAAGTGACATTTTCCAAGGAGATCAAGTCTCACGCAGACAACTTCTTGGTAGAATAGACGGAACCCAAAAGTCTTTCGGTTTGGGAACAGCTTCTGGGCGAATTTAGTCTATAAAAGGATAAGGATATGTATTCGAGTAGAGCTGGAGATGGGCATTAGTAGGAGTGTCTTGGCGGTTTAGAACCTAATGGCGCAACGACAATTGATGTTACGTGTTTTGGCCATTTTGTTGATAAGTGGCCGTGTTCGTCATTATTGATTGACACGAAATCAACTTCCATACAGCTAGCTAATGATTACGCACGCAATAGTGAATGTTGTTGGGGAGTTGAAATGTAGAATTGAGGTATTTGTACTCATCAGCTTTGTTATCGCATCCTCGATGTTTTTTCTTCCTCTCTGCATCTTTAATGAGTATGCATTTTGTTCTCGTCTCATCTGACTGGACTTCTATTCTCGCAATCAATATCGTGCCTGAGCTGTATAGTGCGAGCTGCTCACTGATGCACGGTCCATACTCACTAAATCCTCCCTGTGGGCTTGTTGTTGCTCGGTCACAACTCGCATACAACATCGCACTCTCCAAGCGACACGAAAAGTGATGGTTTACAGCTCATAGGGATGTTAGAAGTTCTCTGAAAATACTCTCGTGGGCTGTGTCCACGCCACAGATGAACATGGCGCAGCGAAACCAACTTGCGCCCTTCAGCGCGACTGAGTATCAAGACAGGGCACCTGATGGCTACCCTGTGAGCTGCCCGACTCTAGACCTCTCAGCAACTTGGGACCCAGTGGACAAGAACATACTTGTGTATAGACCTCCTGGTCAAGTTGTTTCCAGGATCCACCAGGTTGGTGCGCCGGGCCAGAAAGCACCAGACGCGCAGGCAGTTACTTGGAGGTCGGACGGTCAGTAGGCAAATATTCCATGATCGAGAAAACTACTCATTCAATCGGCGTAGGCCAATTCCTTGCAGTCGGATGGAGTGACGGCTTTGTGCGATTGATGGGACTCGAGAACAACAAGGCAGCTCACCATATCAAAGTTGGTGAATCTCCAGGGAGCGAGATCACGCACATTGGATGGGCGAGTAGCAGTATTGCCGGGAAGGGCTCCAGCGCCGTGTACCAAGCTCTGAAGGATGGCCTCGTTGAAGATTCAGCACGGAATGGGGATGGACTTCCGTTGAATCTCCCTCGTGAACTGACTTTCCTCGAGGTTGACACAGCATTACCCAAGATCAGCCCTCTTCCCAGCAGTAGTGCCGGCTCAGGGTATGCCCTCAGCTTCCACGGTCGAACGCAACATACTAATAATCCCTTGACAGAGAAGATGCTTTGGTTTTCACGTTGAGAACTGGTATAGACTTCCTCTTCCAACCCCCGAAGCCAGAAGAGTATGATCAAGTCAGCGTTATGATTATCGGGACCAGCGATGGTCAACTTCAGCTGAGCATATACGATTCGTTCATCATTGGCAGCTTTCAATGCCCTCAGATTAACACATCAAGCTCACAGCTGATTCTTCATGCATCGCACCCACATGTATCAACTCAGGCTTTACTAGTTGCAGACAAAACAGAAGAGCCAGAAGAAGTGCAGCTGGTGCCCATCGACCTTCCATTCATCTCATCCCACCCTATCAACCTTTCTCTCCTTGCCTCCAAGCTAACCACTCTTCAAAAGCTATTGAGGTATCTGAAGCAAGCACAACTTCATATGCAGGTCGAATGGCGAAACACGCGCGAGCTTCCCACAAGATTTCTGCGGAGTATTCAAGGCGATCTCGAAAATCTAGAGACTGGGCCAAGAATTATTGTCCCTGCTCTTTACCATTTGGCTGTGACAGGTCACGCCTTCGAGCCTGTACGCGAGTGGTTGGTTGAAAGTCTGGCAGAACGAGTAAGTGACATGGGAATTCAGGCTTCTCGTGATATTTGCTAAGCTTTCCAGGGCCATAAGCGATGGGATAAAGCAGTAGTCTCCGGTTTGGAGGGCCTCAGAAATTTAGTCCACGAGAACTTCCTCCCAGCTCTTGATCGTTGTGCAATCATCCTAAGCAGGCTACGAGGCTTGGCCCAATTCCATGACATCCGAGATGACATCGGCTTCACTCTCCAGCAAACTAGTCGCTTGATGGATATTGTTCAATGTCTCCAGCTCATCGGCCATAAAGTGTTGATCAACGTGATGGACGAACTTGATAGCTTCACCGCGTTCTCAACCTGGCTTCGCTTCCAAATCGACCGGCTTGCCTCTTCTAGCTCCGCGAGCGAGGAACTCACGGAAAAGGAGGCAACCATGGACATTGCAAAGGTACTGAGTTACATTGAGAATTATCTCATCGATAGCCCGCTTAGGCTATTCTTTGACGAAATGACCAGAGAAGACTATGAAGCAGACTGGGCACACATAGAAGGTGGTCCGACTCTGCTTCATGTTCTTGATCAGGCGTCGGGAAAGTGGGAGAACGGACAGCCCAGCATGAAAGCTCTCCCACGTGTCGAATTTCTTGTATCATATGCCACGACCTGGGCGAATCGTACATTCAAGGGCATTGCAGAGGCAAAGAAGCGTAGCGTTCGACTTGGAAACCCAATTAGACTGTCAGCTGGTCGTGTGGTTTCACATAGAGATATGAGGATGAGCAAATCAAGGAACAAGGTGCTTGAGCTTCTTTGTGTGACTCATCCGTTTACTAACATCGAATTAGGAAACAAATGTGGTTACTGCTTTAGCATCTAAAGAGGCTAAAAGCGAAGGTGAGGCGAGCCCTGTTAAATGACCCGAAGAACTGTTCTTGCTAACAAATGGAAGTTAAAATATTCTCCGTCGGCATCGACATCATCAATGGCATCAGTACCAACAGACCGCCAAAAGGTTGTCGTATCGATCTTGGCCCACGTACACTAATTGACTTAAAGTTCCTCAACGACGAAACACTTGTCATACTAAGTAACAGTCAGGGTGAGCTAATAGGGAGTTTCTTCATGCAACAAGTATGATGCTAATGTTGCAAAAAAGATAACGGGCTGCAAGTTTTCTCCGTACCTATCCGAACAGGAAGGCTTGCATATGCCGACTACGATCCCAGCAGGCTCAGTGAGACGCCTTGCGTGTCAGTTGATGGATTTACGGCCTACTCTTTTCCTGAGAAGTCGGTGTCTAGACCATTGCGTATGGAGGTTAACGACAGGAATAACGTCAGGGGTGACATGCCCCAGAGAGTCTGCGTTGTTGAGAGTAATCGCACCACTATCAAAACGTTTACTTTTCAGTAGCTCAAGCTGTCACGCGGTTCACTTCGATAAGAATCAGGGTAGAAATGGGAGAAGTTCGAAGGGAATCCGAACCCGGCGTCATGGACTCTCAAAAACAGGTATTGACAAGGACGCTAGCTTAAATAGTTTACAAGGTAGAACATAAATGTGAAGTGCCTGCCCCTTTCACTCATGGCAGTCGAATTACTGCTGCCGTGGCTTAGTGATGTTGAAGAATTCGGTTAATCCCTCAACAACGGCCTCGACGTTCATATTGACCAGGGGCATGCTATCGTACGAGTCTTCCTTCATAATAGCAACAAGTGCCAAGTAACGATCCACCTCACGCAGCATGATGGGCTTGTTTCCGTCGTGTAGGACAAGACAGCTTTCTGCAGTGTTGCAACCAATCTGTTTATCAATAGGCGCGCTCCAAGGTTCGCCCTCCAGACGACGCCGCCCCTCATCACTGCGCTGCCACGTACCATAGACCTCAGTTATGTCAATGATGACATCAATGTAATCACTGCAGATCTCGTAGCTCGCCATATCAGCAGTTGCGCTGTCAGTGGCAATATAGATCTTTGTAAGCACATCAAAGAGGTATGCCTTCTCGAAACGGCACGTGCGGCAGAGGTTGGTAAGCATGGATTCCAGCGTTCCGAGGCGAGGAATGAGTTTCTGAATAACCTTGCTGAAAGCCTCGAAAATAGAATGGTTATAAATGGAGGTTAGGTGGAAGGTGACAGGGGCGTTCTCAAAGCCGTGGTCTGACAACTCATCTTGGATACGGATGGTGATATCGCGCTGAATATCGAGCTTGTAATCATCTGAGAGGCCGTCAACCTTGTGGATGAAGACCTCGATATTGATGTTGGGGTATGTTCGCTGGAGAAAAAGGATCGTGGTGTTGAGGCGCATGACGGCTTCGAGGTAGTCATCCTGAGCGTCGATGACCCAGATGAGGGCACCAATCTCGCTGAAGATGGCCTCAATATCAAATCCTGGGTTCTCAAAGACGTCGATCTGGCCTGGGAAGTCCCAGACTTGGAAATCCATGAATGACCTATGCAATTGTGAGTTTATGGTTACCACGGCCAGAGTATTGCTAGCACTAACGCCATGGAGTCCTTTTGAATTCTAGCCGTTGATTCAAGGAATAGAGTCTCGTTCGGGGGCAGCTTGTGGAAGACTACACTGGAGATAGATGACTTTCCGCTCCTGTGACACTCTATTAGCTGATGTCTGCTTTCTTCTCCCGCGCATATCATACCTTCGTTGACCCATGAGTAATAAACGCGGCTTCCCCTTAGGAGCTGCGCCAACAGAATTGGGACCGGGGACGGCAGGTTTTTGTGCATCCTTTTTAGATGCCGGAGCTCCGCTAATTGACTGTTCAAAGAGACGTTGAAGATTTAGCTGGGCTGGACTGGTTCCACTGGCAGATGTGTCATCTACCTCATCAAAGGAGCGCGCAAGATTGTAAATTGGAGGACTGAGTGACATTTTGGGACTTGTGCAATGGCAATGGAGAGGGGGTAGTTTGGTGTTGAGGGTATTGGGTTATGTATGGTTATGGGTTCTTGGGTTTGAGTGAAACTGGATATCGGGTTTGCTCATGTCACTTGATATACAGCAAGACTATCCCGAGGATTCATCTCCTTTTATTGTCCTCTTTCGTTGTGTCGGATCAAGATGGCGAGCTATCAGTAGTTGATATACTGGGCACTGACGGACAGGGACATGAAATACCCGCCAACTAGCAGCACCTGATGCATCGGAGCAAAAAGATCTCATCCATTGCATTACCAGGCGAACTGAAGGCGTAGAGGGCTCCAGCTGGTGGGACTGGACGTGATGAGGCTTCAGCGGTCTTTAGACACCAACTCGTACTCATAATTGCAGGCCAGCGTGGCTCGTATAGAGCCTCGCCTCACCACGCCTCGCGTTGTATAAGAGTCGCGCATCCTCCCACTCGAGGTGACACAGGCTCCTCTACACAGCAGCGGCCTAGCCAAGCGAGTGACCGTCGAATCAGGGCGTCCAGAGTGCTGCCAGGACGCTGATGCTGTAATTTTGTGGCCAGCGCCACTACCGAGTACCAATCTTTACCTCGATGGAGGTCAGGGCTTGGTGACATATTGCGGGAGCTGACAGGATAAGAGAGAACCTTGGAGGTGACAGCATTGTTGCGCTGTGCTGTGCTGTGCCGTGCCGTGCTGTGTCGTGCTTTGTTGTATCGTGTTGCATTGGTCACACGAGGGGTCGAGCGCACACTTGAGCGTCGAGACGAGAGAGAAAAAGAAAGCATGGGAAATCAGGCGCAACAAGCACTAGTATCTTACCTCCATTTTGCTTAGAGAGCCCAGGTCGAGCTATACTGTGCTACACGATAACTCCAGTCCTAGTGGTCAACTCTCCGAGGCTGGGTTGGTCCAGATGTAGGACTGAGAACAAGGCTGTGAGGCTGAGAAAGTCAATTGCTACCTTATGGGTGCTCAGTGATTGATCAGTGAGCGAGCGAAACGAGGGCAGCGTTTTGATTGCTCCGGTGTTTGATTGGTAGATGCGTAAACGATGCGATGGAGGACAATAGCCGATTATGACGAGAAATATGGGCATGGACGTACGTTCTATAGGTGATGGGTGATTTATGCGTCTCCAGGTGTTGTTGTATGTGTATGGTCTCGAGATTATCACTTGGAGGTGGCTGGAGCAATGACTGCCCGCTCAGGCAGCAGGTGATAGCGCTGAAACTCCCCACAATCCACTAAAACGAAGTCACCATACCTCCTGGAACGACCTCAGGTTGGTTTTCTATCAGACCTGTATGTATTCGATCCTTATAGACCCATATCTGTGTGAGTTCATGCAATCTAAACTACCTTAGTTTCAGATGTGATAAGTAGCAACATCGTTATATAATATCTCATGACTATTTAGGTGCTAGAACCTAGCTTCACTCCTTGACTGGGAGAGGCCCTCTTCCTCCAATATTCACTTGAATGCATGTTAACTACCTGTGGCGCATGTAATCTGCAGCTGGTTACCCTGTACCGAAGCGATATTTGACTTCAACGTTTCCGTTTATGTCATTCCTCGCCAACAAAGGAGTGACAACGATATTTCAGCCCTCTAACCACTGCTGATGGCTACCTAGACAAATATCTAGCTGGCAGGAATCTCTAGATTTATTTCCTCTTATTCCGCCTCTCTCTCCGCTAAACGACTCACAGACCTAGGAAACAGAGCATGAATGAAACTCTTCCTTCGCTTTAACGTCTTCGTATTGTTTTTCTCGGTCTCAGCTTCGCTTTTCGCAGCCTTTGCAAAAGTTTCTGGGCCATTAGACAATATGGCATGCGATGTGCTCGGATTTAAAGCAGATGCACTCTCTGATGCGGCTATCTTACTCTTTATTTCTCGAAATGCCTACTCATGTTGATCAAAACCAGCTCCTTCAACATAGCAATAAACGAGACTCACCTTACTAGATCTTCTCCTCGGAGCTCTGATCGAACCTCGATGTTCCGCCATCGCTTGTGTCTCTTCTATCAGTTCTGTAATATGCCCAGCAAGTGTGTTGCCTTTCCACCCAGCGCAGTCTTCAGCGAGGGGAACGAATCTCAAGAACCCCTTAGATGGAGGAATCCTCAGGGCCTGCTCCATGTGTCTCTGGAAGAGAGCAATGTTCCGTTTGTTCGTTGTCGTCTGGACGTCTCGAGCGAGAGCCTCGATTGTCATGGTATAGACAGCATCAGAACCGCCACCAAACTGAATACAGATCCCATGTTGGACTGTTATTACGATAGAAGATGCCGGACGATTGTATCGCAACGAGAGGTACTCGGATAGCTCAGTGATGAAGGTAAATTCATCTTCAATCTAGGTACATAGCTGAATGTTAGTGACAGATCCTCTGGTACAATACAGCGCGCCAACTTGCAATGACGTTGGTCTTAATTTCCACCAGCACAGGAGACTCGTTCCGTATTCGATCACCGGGGTCTTGCGTATGCTTGGGTCCGAATGCTTCCTCGAAGAAGTCACTTCGATTTCTGGTGATTATCGGCAATGATTGCTTTCTCGTCACTTTGGCAGCATCCCCGGAGGCAATCTGCTCTACCTCTCTTGAGAGTCGTTGATCGCTCTCCAGAACAGGGTCGAGACTTGGCCTGCTAAGGCGAGGCTTGACTCTTCGCTCTCCCGGGAGTAATCTTGGAGCTGGAGCTGACGCAGGAGTTTCTTGTTTTTGCCGTGGTTTCGAATTCGGAGGCTTCGTAGAGGTGCGACTTGGGATGTAAGGCAAAGCCATTGCCGGTGATAGGTGCATGATGGCAGCAGAAGCTTGCAGGGTCGGGATCACGACGATGTAAAAGGAAAGTTACGAGCGCATGAAAGCCATTGACTGCTCAGAGATGGCTTGGTTATTCGTTACACGTGAGATCTTTGTGCGCCCATACTCTGCGGCGATGTGCCGTATGTATCAAAAGAAATCGAATATCAAGCCAAAGAAACAGGCGTATATACATAAGTATGAGCATAATCTGTATCACGTTTCATAATCAAATACGCAGGAGGCTTACGGCAGGTGAGCATATGGATCACTCTATAGTAATTCGATGTCAAGAAGATAAATTGACGTTGAATACGGTACACGATAAAACGAGGCGTCTTTGTGCCGTAGCTGGTGTTCCCGGGACTGCAGGTTTCTCTACGTTTCCCGCTCTGCTCTTCTGTAAGTGAAACGCGTGTCACGCAATCACTATTAACACAGTTGTGAGTTCAACAAGGACAGTCGACTGTGACTCAGACTTCCCCTTGGCTCGGGCGAGGCCCGACGGGCATGAAACTCGATTCCGCCCGGTATAGAACATTCATAATCGAGCCCTGAACACAGTCGAGGTGTAAATGGATCCTTCGTTAGCAAGGATGCATTGCGGCCTTACCTTCTGGGATGATGCTGATGAAACCAGTGCCTGACTGGTCTGTCTCGTGACGAGAACTGGCCTGTCATTGCTTGTTATTTCATCCTTCGATTCATGCCTTCTAGATCTTGTCTAGCTCGTTATAGTGGTGCGGGTGTGAGTACGGATAATGGTCATCAATTGTGTGAAGGAATTCTCATTTTACTATACATAAGGTAGCTTCGGGTGCTCGGCTACCCTGGAGATATGTATAGAGGTGGTCATCACGAAACATGGGCGTTTAAGTGCAACGGATGGCTACAGCACCTCACCTTGGTACGTACGTTTTCGTTTGTCTTTTGGCTGATGGCCACTACTCGTATTGTTCAATAATGGGCTGCAGCCACTCTGGACAATGTGTTATATACCCTGTTGTAATGCAAAGAATTGCCCCCTACGCACGTCTTATCACATTTGACAGCACCGAGGAGACGGAACACCATAGGTTAGAGTTTCTGCTAATCGCTGCAATGCATCAGGGGCTTCCAAACTGTCGGAATGTCTATAAAATTATCTATCAGACCTAGACTGACCTGGACTGGTTCACAGACTATTAACATATGCACGCGCTAGGCATGGCCGAGCTGTTGGTTCTGGTCCTAGCATTTGTCTCGGCGCGTATGTACATAAAAAGAAAAGAGAAAATAGGGTTGATTAATATTCCAAATATGACCTATCGCAATCGAAACCACATCGAGCTTTGTTTTCAGCCCCAGCTCCGAACACACACAAGAAAAACAGAAGAGACTAGGCCATGTATGTATGAATACGGGCTGCAATAGTCTCGAGCGCCCCTTGGGCTGATTATGACACCCCACAACTAATTCCGATCCTTTGACAAATTCCATCGATCCAACTCGACTGGCATCTGGCGATCAGACCTGACATCTCAATGATCTGAACCCAGGCCCAAGGCCGTGGAACTCTCGCATATTGGCTTCAGTCTCCCAATCTCGATATCAATTTCAAGACAGGGCAGGGCTTCCCGCTTTACGGCGGCTTGGTCCACGAGCGCCCAAGTCGAAGCGTTTCTCTAGGGTGAACTGATACACCGCCAACCCCAGGATTATAGCTTCGACGGGAACTAGCATGACAGAAAGCGCTACACCGGCCCGGCTCTGTTTGCAGAGTGTGCCGAAGTGAGGCTGCACGTTCATGGTCACGTCCTTCCAGCGGCATGTCCAGCTCTGAAGTGAATCGTTGGTGGTAGAGGCATTCACCCTGTAGAAGAATGACATGGCGATGGTGGCGGCGATCAGGGCGATAGCAGGGGGCACAAATGTGATTGCTGCCCTGACTGTAGCGTTTCTGCGGGCCTTATTTGCATCATGACCGTTAGTTTCAGAACCAAAAAGCAAATATGTACAACAGGAAGAGACTGGGGGGTCGCCTTACAGTCGGAATCTTGCCGGCGATCAATGAGACGAGATTGGCCACAATGACCAGGGCACTACCGACTACCAGAGCTACAGTAGGGCGCACATCGAGGTTGGCAGGCCACAGTTGAAGTAACCAATCTTCCGGGACATAGGTAGCATGGAAAACAGCGAGGGAATCCGCCGAAACACCAAGGATTGTCAAGCCAGCTGCGAGGCCGAGGACTGTGAGGCCCAATCTAGCGCTGTCGATCAAGCGATAGATACGGAAGCTGAGATTGGTTCGAACCGACTCAGCATCTGCCTCGAAGTTGGACGCTGAGATCTCTGTCTTGGTACCGATGGACATATTTCTGCCGGAAGACTCCATTCTGAGCATATAGACCGAGTATATGTATATTGACCTGAGAGGGATCGCGATGAACAAGACTAACGGAAAATTCAAAACCCTAAGACCGGCTGGAGAGAAAAGGAAAGAGTATAGGAAAGACGAAAAGGAGAAGGAGAAGTAAAAGCCAAATGAACCAAGCGTAAATACGAAAGAGCTTTGAATTGATATCGAAATAGATCATGGGGATTTGCAACATAGATATACGAGATTGACCATAGCTCAACAAGACCCGTTAACCTTAAGTGACGAACACCCATCACAACAACAGACAGTGAAGAGACCAATCATATGAAGGCGATCAGTGTGATTGTAGGAAGCGCCTATGCAAGAATTGCAGCATAGGCGCGCTGGTTGGTGTTGAAGTGAGAGATTGACATCGAATGCTGGGCTAGGATTGGCCGAACCTCTAACTGCAAGAGTTGAGCGTTTGGCGTCGAGCGCTTAGACAAAGATTGAGCCACTCAGAGACAAGCATTATTCCCCGAGATGGGAGATGGTTGTCACAAAGATCTATTTTGGGGTCCGTGTCAAACCGTTGGCGTGAGCGGTTATGTACATACCTACGTTGATATTAGTAACTAGGACAAGAAGGCTGCAGGAACGGTCGACCAGTGGCCACTTGAGTTTATCCATCTATCAAGCAAGCATGCAAGCAGTGAGAGTCAACTTGCTGAGCAAGATACCTTGAGTTCCTATCTTGGTCACATGCTTGATCACCTGACCAGTCTAATAAGACGCCACAGCACACGCCACACCTCGTCCTGACAGAACCCCCCGATGTGGATCCCGAAGATATTCGGGGCTAGACTTGGCATCGCGCTCCGAAAAAGTCAAGATGAATCAAAGTCTTCGATGTAACATTTCTTTTCAGCTTGCGGATGCCTCTCAAACCTTTATTATTATTACAGCAGACCAGGGGAAAGTCAGTCTTCGGAAACTGTTAAACTCGTCGGTCGGTCCGCTACTTGTCGGAAATGAAACCTGCTGGCTGGATTGCTTTTGCCAGTAAATGCTTCGCAATCGAGGCTGACCGGCCGGTAATGTTTTAATATCGAACTACTTCACAGTTACATGACATACTCGAACTGCCGGGCAGATCGATGCGGCCTGAACATCATCGTTCGTACAAATCCTTGCGGCACAGGAGGCAGCCCAGAGCATGGCCAGACGCGAATATATCCTTCCAGAATGTCTATCTACACATCAATCATCGCCGCTTCACGATGGCTGCATTAAAGAGACGATGAATGATGTCGATATCGTGACACAAAGGCTGATGTTGACGTTGGCATGCGCCAAGATGCTCGAGGCTTTGGAGGCTTGGAGCTCCCTCAAGGCTCAAGGCTCAAACCCCTCCATCAACAAGACGTTCTCTGGCGCTGTGAGGCGTCGCGGATGATCGACAGTAGCGTTCTTGCCGGTTGCGGTTAGGACGCCAGGCGTCCTTTGCATCCATGCAAGCCGCTATTTAGACGAGTCAATCAGAGTGGGCAGTGCAGGGGAAGGGGTCTGACATGATCCCTAACGTTCAGTAATCCAAAATGCGCTACCCTTGACATCCTGACATCCTGACATCCTCACAAACTTAGATTTCGGATTCTGGAGGGCTGAGACAGAGACCGGTATAGACCATAGCTTTACCTGTTGAGTACGATGTGTACATGTGATTGGCGGGCTGCGAAGACTCAACTGAAAGATCCTGACCCATGTCTTGAGAATATTAAGATACTCATCAGCAGGATGCAGATCTAAGTAATCTAATGTCGTTGTCAATCACCTTCCAGAGGATTGGATATGGTAGGTTATCTTGGACGCCCCGCTGTCGTCTTCGGGCTCAAGACAGCTGAATACTAGGAAGAGATGGTGGACTACGTGGATTCTATACGTCGTTATGCCGACGGCAGTACAGTATGACATTTGCTGCTGGGACTATGAACCTAATGCAATCTTTATGTCCTGCAGCTACTTAGTGCACCTCATTTCTGGGACATGATTAGAACAGAAATGACAGTTCGACAACAATAGATGCAATGCATCAAAGAGCCAAGGCTACTGCAAGACCCTTCGGCAGCCCACATAACCAGAGAGCATGTCTGGCACCTTCAAGTTTCAACGATGGCTGATTAGAGTCGGCCAAACTACACTACGATGTGCTATGCTATGATAGCCACCTGGGATCAAGAACTTGGAACAATTGACTGTGTACAGAGATGTACGTATGTACATTACAGCCTTGCCCCTTGCGACCGGGAACCATTGAACGGCATGTGGGTATAGACTACACAACCGTCACTTTGATGTCCCACACCGGAGAGCGCGATGAGGACGAGAACAGACAAAGAGGCGTTATCTGTGGATCAAGACACGCCCTGGGGGAGTGTGTTTCGAACGTCCTCGAAGGAGGAAACAAGAGATCAAGACAATGAACACGTCTTGTCTAGATCGGAGTAGCATCATATGACATGAGACATGACAGGAGAGATTGTTCACACGCATCTTGGACAGGTAACTAAAGGGAGCAGGTATCGTCAGTGTCAGTGTCAAAGCCTAGTATTGGATATGGGTTCTGAGGGTTTGTGGCCCCTCCTTGTCATGCGTCGGATCAACGGCCATCCGCAAGTCAATAAGGGTACTACTCAACATTCGGGCCAATCGCATCATGGTGTGGGCGGACTGAAAGCCATGACAGGGACCCATGATGTGACCCATGGCCCTAGAGAAGAAATGACAAGTCCAATCCTGGGGGAGGAGTCTAGCTGGAAATGTTCCGGAGTCGATTGCAGCCGCCTATTGGTCGAGAAATCTACGCATGTTTCCTTGCCTTGGCTTGGTAGTTGGTAGGGCCCTTCGCAAAAGGAACAGGAAACACAGCCTGGAAGGGGAATAGTAAACGCTTGCGGAGTTTCGAGATATCCATCACCGGCCATTTTCCTCCATGGCGGCCAAGTTCCTGGGGCTCATTTCACTAGCAAGATTGCCTGCTTCTACTCCGTGCTCTGGCTCTTTTGCTCTCCCTCCTCTGTCGTGTGCGGCTCATGCGAGACACGGAAACGGGGTGACATTGGAGTTGCAGCCGTCAATTAACCAGTCAGTCAGCCAAAACACCATTTGTGGCGGCCTTTGAATGCGGCATAGCACTCGACTTTGAGAAAAGACTCAAGTCGACCAGCGCCTCTATGATCCCTATTCCATCAGATCAGAGACGTGACTGCCCAAAGGCCTGATCCTAGGCCTGGAACTGCCCAACTTGATTGAGCAGCAGCAGCTGCTGCTGAATGTGATGTGATGTTGCTTGTGCAGCCTGTGCTTCATCTTAGGCTGCAAATAATGCCAGTTAGCCTACACTACATACACTTTCAATGCACCCCCGGCTCTCCGGACCCGAGCAGTCGGTTCTGTCCGTGGTGTGCCTGGGCTGGGCTCGCCTGGGCTGGCAGACAGAAACTTGCGTCCTCCTGCTGTGGTCTGTCAGGTCAGGCTGAGGGGAATGGAAGCTGCCGAACGGGGGGTGCATGGATATGGAGAAGTGTTTTCGGGAATATGAGCGAGTGCGTTTTGCAGTTTCCGGGCTGCCGAGTACGCTTCATCCCTTTTTCTTGTCTTCCTTTCTGACTACCTACTCAAGTCGAGTCGGAATCGAAGTCGCCTCTTGCACAAGCCTCGAACGCAACTGGGGATCCTCTCCCGGCAACTTACACACAACTTAACTTAGCCTAGAATCCTCGGACTTTGGTATCTTTTCCGTGACTGGGGGGCTGGGTCCATTAGTCCATGACCCACGGATGCTCTTAGGCTTGAGCCTTTGCAGACGGGAACGGATACAGTGAGTGAATGAAAATCACAGTGGAAGCTTTGCTCTGGGGAGGACATTTTCTCGTTGTTGATCAACAAGGATCATCAACGATGTGTCCCTGGGTATGTATGTATGAATAAGTTTGGGTCTGTCAAGGGTATGAACATGACAAGGGCATCGACAACTTGGCATGGACATGGATCCTACGGTAAGAGGAGAGACTGGACCTTTATTAACCTAGTCAACCTTTTAGTGAGGACCCAAGTGATTTAGGCGTGGATAGGATGGGATGGGATGGGCGTGTGATGGTAAATTGAACCAAGACACTCCCTCCCTCTCTCTCCCACTCCCTCTATCGTCATTCACTTAACTTGCCTTACCTATTCATCTTATGCTGTCTCCCATTGTGTGTTATATTTATTATCCTTCACCTGCCCCTCAGTGTTTACTTTGTCTTTTCGAGTCTGTCTCGACTTTCAGAACAGAGGAAGAAAGAAGAATTCATCGTATTATTCGGTTTTAACCAAACCACACACACCACAGGCCATTTGATTCTACTCAACAACTCTGCTCAACTTCAAAAGTTCATCACCATCGACCACTACCACCACCATTGACGGTCTTGTGAACGTTGGTTCCGCAGCGCATTATCACCGCGCGTGTCGCCTGGGGTTTGCGACTCCAGCCACAGTTTTCGTTTCTAGCACTCTTGTCCTCAAAAACGTTTCTTGCAATATGTCTTCTCATACAATGTATGCCCCGCCAACACCTACGCCTCGCACCTTTGTAAGTCAACCAGTCCATTCTTCGCTCCCCTGAATCTACAACAAAAGATGCCTAATTCTAACGCCATTGTCTTTCTTCAGCATAACTTCGAGCAACTCCCCGCAGAGCTTCGTGTCAAGATCTGGAATTATAACCTCCCTCCTGCGCGCCTCGTGCCCATGCAATGCGGTTCCTCATGGTCCGGCTCCTCGGGCTCCCACTCATGGTCAGGATGTACTTCTTCAGCAACTATTCCCGCCAACCTCCACGTATGCGCCGAGTCGCGCAGTGAAGCTCTGAAGTACTACGGACTCGGCTTTGGCTTTGCTCGTGGCCCTGGTCAGGTCTTCCTCGATCCCGATCGCGATATTCTCTACTTTGGACCTCGCGATGGTTACATGGCCGCAGACTCTCAGTTCCA